ATATACTAAAATAAACTACTTACTAATAATACTACTACTTGGACTATCCCTACTTATTTATTTTAGTTTATTAACCTTTATTTAACCAGACAAATACCACTGAGATCACAGATCTCTTTTACAATGGAGGTCTGGGCCTGAAGGCAGCCTAACATGCATGTTTTTGTCTGTGGAAGGAAACCGGAGTACCCAGAGAAAACCCACGCAAGCACGAGAAGAACTTACAAACTCCACACAGAAAGACCCCAGGTCCAACTGTGGATAGGACCCAGAACCTTCTTGCTGTGAGGCAACAGTGCTAACCACTGAGCCGTCGTGCTGCCATGTACTTCACGGTTTTTCATTTATCATGGTGGAGCATGGTCCCTGCAACACTGTATATAGTGCCTTAGAAAGTTGTCTTGTGGTACGTTTAAAGTAGTGCATAAAGTTGCACACTGCATTGGTTGAAAATAGACCATAATGCATTGCAGCCACAGCCAACACAGCAAAATGTTAATGCTAATGTTTACAGCTCCCATTTGTGATATTCAGACTAGTTGAAAATGCTTTAATTATATGCATGTTTTGATTTGAAGTGTGGCATGTCCTCATCTGTCTGAGCTTTGTCCCATTTAACTGAAAGTATATTTAAGTTGTTTAGGTTTAAATATGAAACATGTTGAAGATATGCAGCCACTTACAATGTAAGGCAAGTCAAATTTCAACCATTGTAAACTGTGACTCGTTTTAATTTGAACAAATACTATAACTGTTAAAACTGTTGTTCTGTACAGAAATGTGTAAGCAATGTATTAATTTAGTATTTGAAATGCAAAAACCCATAGCTGTCCTCTACCATCTAACAAGTCTACTACTGTATATAGTGACCCCATTGTAGTGAGTGAGTGAATGAGTGAACATTAAAAACACAATATCTTCCACTCCCACATCATGCCACTCTCTGTTAATGTATGTTATATAAGTATATAAGCCTCAGTAAATTTAAAAAAATTGTGGGAGTCTATTGGTTTTTAGTCTCTTTGGTTTTTTTTGCACACCTATTTTAGGGATACAAATTATTTTCACATTGTTATAATTCAGATAGAATGACACTTTACAAAGGATAAACAGTAAAAAGTCCTTACTCAGCTTTTTAATTGTTATCCCATAATCATGAGCAGGCTCCTACTGTTTGAGCATCCCAGTAGCTTTCATAAAAGGTCTGGTCCCTTTAAATGCACACCACGCAGCATGGACAAAAGAATCCCTGCTCATTCATCTGAATAAAAAGATGTGTGTGCGTGAGTGTGTGTGCATGTGTGGAAAGAGGAATTTAAAATCCAACACTACTGTTGTAAACTTAGTGTCTAGGATCCCAAACTTCTCTTTCTCCTTATCTCAGTACCCACCGCCCATCTTTCATCCTCACCACCTCCCTCTCTTCCTCTTTTGTTTTAGGACACCTTAAACAACAACTCATTTGGAAAGAAATACAGCTGGCAAGAAAAGGTTTCAGGCTCATCTTCACCCCTTAAAACTGGTAAGCTTTTACTTTCCACTTATCAGATCTTCAGGAAACGTTATATTTATCTCGGGAAAATGAAGTTTTTGAAGTTGTCACCCCTAGTTAATGGCAACATTTTGCAGAGTGGAATGTTGAATCTGTCAATAGTTATAGTTCCTGTTTCGCTTCCAAAACAGTGGTGTTGTGTGTGATAGTCAGTTTGGAGGGCTGTGTACTTGTGTTGTCTTTAGGGACAGTTTGAATTGGAGTGATCACTAAGTGGAGCTAACTCAGGGACTGATGGGAGTTGTGGGTGTGTGTTTGTGTTTTAGCCCAGCCAGATCATGGGAAGTCATCACTGGTCATTGCCAACATTCTCAGAGCTTCAGTGTGGGGGATACAAACTATTTTTTTAACCTTTATTTTACCAAGTGAAATGTTTGAGGGCTGGCACGGTGGCACAGTTGGTAGAGCTGTCGCCTCTCAGAGAGAAGGTCGCTGAATCAAATCACGGCCAGGGACCTTTCTGAGTGGAGTTTGCATGTTCGCTCTGTGCATGCGTGGGTTTCCTCCCACAGACCAAAAACATGTATGTTAGGCTGATTGGTGACTCTAAATTGTCTCTAGTGAAAGAGTGAATGGTTGTTTGTCTCGTTTGTCTCTCTGTGATGGACTGGAGACCTGTCCAGGGTGTCCCCCGCCTCTCACACAGTGACTGCTGGATAAGGGCACCAGTGACCCCCGCGACCCAAAAAGGAAGAGCGGGTAAAGATAATAGATGGATGGATGGAAATGTTTGAGAACTATTTCTCATTTATCAGCATGACCTGGAAATGAAATGCCTTCAAGAAATGTACTTTAAAAAAAATACTGCCAGATCAACCCTTTTTTATGGCGTTGTATTTTGCCATTTGTACAACTAAATTCAAAATGGAAGAATGGAATCTGATGTTTTGTTTTTATCAAAGAGAATCTGTTTTCATAAGTGTATGTTGAAGCCAACTCATCAAATAAACATGTCTTTGAGAAAAGACCTGACTGAAAATGTTTCAATACTTTTTAAAATGGAAACCACAGTTTTTTTTTTTTGTTTTTTTAAATAAAGGAAGTGTGATTGTTTCACCTGTTGTTTAGAAGCTTAGATGTCAAACGTCAGAGCTGGATCTTTGACAAAAAAATAATATGGTTTGATTTGTTGCCAGTGGATTATGACGTACTGCATGACATAACGTATTTGATGGGGATTTAACTGGGTAATCCTAACCATTTTTACTCCTCTCTCTTTCTGCTTTGTGCTTCTCTTTGCTGTCCCATGTGTCCATCTTCATGGCTGTTCCTCTGTTGATCCCGTCTTCTTGCCTTCATCATGTGTGTTTACTCTGTGTGTGTGTCCGGCCTCTGTTTATGCTTGTATGCCTGCGTGTTTGTCTGTATGGCCATCTCTGTGGTTCTGTCTGTGTACGCTCTTCCTGTAGGTGATCTCACCCCTCCTCGTGAGCACCGCTGCCTGAGCGATGAGGACAAGGTGCAGGCTGGGGCAGCGCAGACCAAAGACCGCGGAACGTCCACAGACGCCCCTTGCAGGCACCGCCACACATCGGGACAATCACACGGCTCAAGCAATGGTGCTGTAACTCGGTCCAAGCTACAGGAGAAGCCACCTCAACCACCACCACCACAGAACTACACACCAGCTCCTCTATATCCAACGGGTAAGGCGGATTGCTCTGGTCACCATCGGGAGAAGGTTCGATACCACACAGATGTTCATCTGGAACCCACGGAGGAGATTTATTTGACTCCGGTTCAGCGTTCAGCGGACCCCTTAGAACCCCCCAATGTGCCAGACCGACCTTTTCTCTCACAACAGACTGAACAAGGACGTATGTCCATAAGCTCTGACACAGAGGGCCCACCTCCTTATCAGCCTCTACCAGATCGGACCAATCCTTCCATTTATGAGGAGGACGAACTTTATGTCCCCCCACCTTCATATGCTTCTTGTGTGGAGTCACTCATCACGCCACCTAGCATGGCTGTTTCAGCTCCTTCCTCTCATGCTCTGGACCTCAGCTTAAAGGGAGTGCAGGCCACGCTGAGAGCTGGGTCATCTGTAGAGTATGTGGATGCCACAGATGAAAGCTTTTGTGGGGAGGATGAGGATGTAGACAGGATAATAATGAACAGAAAGATGACAAAGGGAGGAGGGAAGGGAAATGAAAGTGGCAGAAAACCTATCCCACTAAGGACTACCATGAGCTCCGAGGCCAGCAGCTTAACATATGACTCAGTCAAATACACACTAGTGGTGGATGAGCACTCTCAGCTAGAGCTCATCAGTCTCAGGCAGTGTTACCAAGGCTACAGCGATGACAGCGACTCAGCTACTGTTTACGACAACTGCGTCTCTTCCCCTTATGAGTCTGCCATTGGGGAGGAGTATGAAGAAGTTGAAGATGATGATCATGACGCTCAGACAGGAGGAGTTCAGAGGGAGGCTACAGCTTGTCTCTCTGAAGATTCCACTTCAGAGGATGACCTGCACTTCTCCAAGAAGTTCCTCAACGTCTTCATGAATGGCCACTCTCGATCTTCCAGTAAGTGCTTGACATTACCTGAAACTATCTGCTGGATTTGAAAGAAACTCATCTCCAGACACTTCAGGTTCTTAATGTAGAGTCAAAAACAGATAGATGGAGTTAGGAAATGTAGTTGTTTTATGTAAACTAAAATACACAAAGCATGCAAAGCGATGCAAAAAGATTTGACTGGTGTGCATAAAGGCTAAATGGGAAATGGACTGTACTTATATAAAGTATTTCTATCTAATCAAGACACTCAAACGCTTTACTCTACAATCTGTTTCCTCATTTACCCATTCATACAGCACTCTACTAAATCTCTACAAATAATAATCAGAGCTTTAGATCACATTCATACACTGATGGGACACACATCAGAGGCAATAATAATACTAATAATAATCATAATAATAGTAATACTCAATGAGTTCTCGTGACTCAATGAGACTACCTGTATAAATAAAGGGTAAATGAAAAAATAAGGGGTTCAGTGTCTTGCCCAGGGACACTTCGGCATGTGACTGCTGGTGAACTTGAACCCCAGCTCTCCCATTGGAGGGCGACTGATTTAACCACTCAGCCACAGCTCAATAAAGGGTATAAAGGGTAAATGCATATGCCAGAGACTCATTTTAATGTACTTTGTACAGTATTTTCCTTTTCCACCCATTAACTAATTCAGGACCAGATTTAAAATAAAATGAAAAAATATATAAAAAATAAACTCATGCTTTCTCCTAGAATGGTGTGCACAATTTCCAGCAAACATCTCCGCACTGAAGGCCCCTGAGCTAAAATCCTTCCTCTTTAACAAACAACAAACAGAGAAGTCAAGATTCAAGTATGAGCTACAAAAGGTACAAAACACGCTGCTCCATAGTTTTGTTCAAAGTTTTGTACAGAGGGAAAAAATAGATAAAGATCCGCAACTAGTAGATTTACAGAAGTAGAACATTTAATTTCCACTTAGCTGCACAAGATGTTTTTCATTTGGCTGCTCCTTTCTTCAGGAGTGGCAACAACATGTGAACTTGCATGAAGGATTTAGCAATTGTTTTACACCGGATGCCCTTCCTGATGCAACCTGGGCTTGAACCCAAGGCCTTAAGATTACAAGACCACAGAGCTACTGTAGCCTTACCTAGCTGTACTAATGTACTCTGCTAATTCAAAATTACAGTCTTTCTGTCTGCAAATAATCTGAACTGATGTTGCAGAGCACGGTCTTACATTCCTTCATAAGTGCACATAGACACAACACGTTACTACAGTACTGATGGTGATTAGGTTTATTGTGTGAACTGTAATGCAGTCTTAACACATCAACTGAGAAAATAAATGGAACATGAGATACACAATAAACAAGTTTAAAACACTATTTTCTCTATTTATTTGTTTTCCAATTTTTTTTTTATCAACTATCCAGTCAGTGTGACAGCCTCTTTTCTAATAAATGGACTTGGTAAAAGCCTTAGCATGTTGTGTTTGTAAAACTTTAGTCAGTTTGAAACATTACGAGGTAATACTCAAACAATATGCGGGATTAATACTAGATGAGTAGTTTGCCTTTTGTTGTCTTTTTGTTCATTTTTCAATTATTTTTTAAAACATAACAATTTATCTCCAGAGTGCAGATGGGAATTGGGGATCTCATGGGAATGTACATACAAATACTCAAAGCTCATCTGTTCACACCTAATTACAGTGTGATTTATGAGCCCTTTAAAGTGTTTGTGTGCTTTGACAAGAACTGGCTGGAATGGAGTTTCTACTCACGTGTGGTTGTTTTTTGTTGCAACTTGAGGTGAATATAATTTGTCTTCTTGACATCCTGTAACAGGCGCTGACTCAGACACTGTAAAGTCATTCTTTTGAGGTTATTTTCTCATTTTCTGTCTCTTTTGTGCTGTTGTAGGTGCTGAGTCATTTGGCTTGTGTTCTTGTGTCATAAATGGAGAAGAGAAAGATCAGACCCACAGAGCAGTCTACAGGTGAGTAACAACACCAGCATCATCATCACCATGAAAACTATTTGTATTTTATATATATATATATATACAGTGATATATTGTATTATATTGTGTGTGCACATAGGTAGTTTTGCCTTGTTCGTGTTAAATTGTTTTTATTCTGTGCAGCACCTTGAGTTACCTCCAAGTATGAAATGTGCTATACAAATACATTTGCCTTGCCTTTGCCTATATTATACAGTATGTTACTATTCCAACCTAGTATAAAGTTTGAAAATACATTACAAGCACAATTTTGGACTTACAGGTGGTTCCTGGGTGCAGAAACTTAAATAAAGAGAAAAGCATTTGTATGTACCAACAGATGCTGCAGAACAAGTTCTTACAAAGCTTAAACATATTTCAGCATTAGTAGCTAGCTTAGTCTAGCTTAGTCTAGCATTAGACTGGCTAGCCCCAGGCCAGTTATGTTATTAACAGATTTGAATGCATTTTATTTTGATGTTTCTGCTGTGATGTTGTTGACTTACAGTTTGATCTGCACACTTTTATTGTGTATTTGCATTTCTTGTCTAGCACAGTTGTGTAGCAAGTAACATGTTTCCCTAAGTACGACAGTAAGTTTCACACCGAGCCATGGTAAACATTTATTTTTTTGTACTAGCAGCCCCTCTGAAGAGGCAAAGGGTGTGTTGGTTTAAGTATATAATACAAAGTATAATATTTATGAGCATATGTCTGTAGATATGTTTGTTTTCGTATGTTTAAGACTGCATGTGAATGGGAATGATGTAAAATAATCAGTTGCTAATGTTCTGAATGTGTTCCAACTTTTATGGTGATGATATGAATTACTACGGTCATTGAAATAAGGTTCAAAAGGAATTAAATCTCATATTCTCATAATTTCTCTATATATGTGTGTATGTGTGTACAGCAGGGGTCACCAACCTTTTTGAGATGGAGAGCTACTTCAGAGTCAGAGATTCTTTATTGTATTCCACCTCATGTGGTACATGTGGTGGAACGAAATTATGTACACAGGGTCCCAGTTACATCCAACAATAAAATGTAAAAGAAAAACAGTAATAAGATCTAAGATATGAACTAAGAAAAACATCAGCTAAATATACACTAAGCACTCATAACATAAAAACATTACGTTGAACAGCAGCACAAACATGAGCAAGAGTCATGAGTTTCATGACTTTCAGTGGGATTGATTTATCGATTATTTATATATATATATATACAGTTTTAGCTAGATGTTAGCTTGTGAATTTACTGTAAACCTATTTCAGATATTATGTTTTTGTTTTGTTTTTTTATCAAACTTACTCAACTTCATTAAAATTTACAACATGCTTTGATCAAAATGCTGTGAAGGATGTAAGGACAGCCACTTTCTTAATTGCCTGCTAATGTTTTTGCTCCTGCCTGTATGTATGTGTGTGAGAGAGAAAGTTTGTCCATCCATCCATCCATCCATCCATTTTCTTTACCCGCTTATTCCATTTTGGGTCACGGGGGTCGCTGGTGCCCATGTCCAGCAATCACTGTGCGAGGGGCGGGGTACACCCTGGACGGGTCGCAAGTCCATCACAGGGACACATAGAGACAAACGAGACAAACAACCATTCACTCTCTCACTCACACCTAGGGACAATTTAGAGTTACCAATCAGCCTAACATGCATGTTTTTGGTCTGTGGGAGGAAACTGGAGTATCTGAAGAAAACCCACGCATGCACGGAGAGAACATGCAAACTCCACCCAGAAAGGCCCCTGGACTGGGGTTTGAACCAAGGACCTGCTCGCTGAGAGGCAGCAGCTCTACCCGTTGTGCCACCGTGCTGCCGGAGAAAGTTTGTATGTTAGCAAAATATTACACAAACTAGTGGATGTTTTCTTTTTTAATTCTAAGGAAGTAATCGTAGGGCATACAAGGAAAACATTTCCACCCCAAATCAAAATGACCACCACATATAAGCAACCTTAGAAAACACTGAAATGGCTACAACTTGGTCAATTTCACACATATTGAACTAACACAATCCATACATGCAACACTTTTGATTACATATTTGCCAAAAATTTTACCAGTAACTCCAACAATGTTCAGTCAGGTCATCTGGACGGCTTCTTTTTTTTGTGCTGAGATGTTTCTAGCCCCATTCAATTCAATTCAATTCAATTCAAAAATACTTTATTAATCCCAGAGGGAAATTAAATGTTGTTGTAGCTCATTTTCCTTGTTTCATAAAAGAGTTGTTCTAGATGTTGATGGTTGTGGGTGGGAAGGATCTCTTGTGATGGTCCGTCTTATAGCAGATCTGAAAAAACTGGCCACAGATGTTGATCTATTTACTTGCACTTGGTTGGCCTCCTGGGCTTCAGGATCACCTGAATGTTGGGCAGCAATCCTCCCGGGGCGATGGCCACTCCTCCCAGCAGCTTGTTGAGCTCCTCGTCGCTGCAGACAGCCAACTGTAGGTGCTGATGGACGATCCTGTCCTTCCGCTGTCATGAGCCGTGTTTCCTGCTAGTTCCAGGATCTCAGTGGTCAGGCACTCGAGCACAGCTGGCAGGTAGATGAGAATGCGTCCACAGAACATCCTTTTCAACTCATTTGAAATTTAGGGCTGTAGTTGAGATATTACTTGAGCTTTTGAGATGTTAATCAGCTGCTGTTGGTTGTAGAAACTGCCTTGTTGCCATGGTTACGCATTATAACAAATGTCCAAAACTAAAAAAGTTACCGTAAAAATCCTTCCAGCTACACAGCATCCAATACCAGAGGAAACAGTCATCCAAAAAATGTGATTTACATCCAGAAAAAGAGGAATTAAAGTTTCCAAAAGCAAAATCTCAGAATGAAAGTAACAGAGCTGCTCCAACATGCAGCCACCTTGAGCGGCGCAATTGACCATCTTAGCACCAACAAACAGTTTTTTTTCCCAAATAACATTTCTTGTTATTAATGTCAGTGTACTTTTTCACAGCTCAGTTGTTACGGCTCTGTTACTACCTCATTTTGTAGCATGTCAGTGGTGGTTTGGCTTAAACCACTCTCACCACCTCAACCAATTTACAAATCATCAAAGTGACCAGAAGGTGTCTAAGTTCCAGTTTGAAGTGTTTTGTGAAAGTACACTTTGTATGTCCATCTATGGGTTTTAATGAAACATTCAGAAAATAATCGCTGTACATCCAAAACTCATTTATTTTAGAAGTCAACCCAAATCAAGATGGCCACCACATCTAAATGACCAACACAGTTTTACAGATAAAGTTTGATTTGGTTGTAGCAAAAAGTCTTTATCAACACATACTTAGTGCTAACATGTCACATGATCTCACAAAACTGAGGTCACATCACTTTATTTACAAGGATTGACCAAACCAGCTCCGTTTCTTCAACACAAAATGATCTAATGTCAAACTGTGCCATTAAATGTGGCAGAAGATATGACATTTCTTCAAGGAATGTCAGGCCTTCATTTCAAAATCACATTTGCACTTTTGTTTTACTGTGTGTCTAATTTTAAAGTATGGAGTGAGACATCCAACTTTAAACCTGACTGCATAGTTTGCCTCAAGTAAGACATCATTGTTCAACAACCACTGGAGCAAACTTGTGGAATGACAAAGCAAACAGTATTTCAACCTTGTCTGCTGCTGAAGCAGGTTTCAGGTGAATCTAGGATGTTGTGTGACGAGCTTGTCAAGCTCCTTAAAACACAAACGAACATAAGTAAATATTCACCTGTCAGCCGAGACAACTGTTGCAATTCCACTGTAATCTCTTTGTAAACCCTCGGCTGAGCTTTTGTCAAGTTGCGTTGTTTAATGTTGATAGTGGATGATGGTAAGTCTTGTTGTTGCAGTGGTTCTGTTTACCCCTCCTTTAATGACAAATTGATTTTTTTTTTTGGCTTTCTTCACAGAACGGGAGTAAATAATGACAAAATCTCCAGAGGAATTCTGAAATTTTGTAAAAGAATGTGACTAATATTTGTAATACAGCTGCTATATTTTTCATCTCATGCTTGTCCCAATAGGTTTGTCCCTCGACACGATGACGAGCTGGAGCTGGAGGTGGATGACCCGTTGCTGGTGGAGGTCCAAGGGGACGATTACTGGTATGAGGGCTACAACATGAGAACTGGAGCCCGAGGCATTTTCCCTGCCTATTATGCCACAGAGGTGACCAAGGACACAGAGAGCTATAAAAGTATGGACTCTACTGGTATTTGTAGTTGTACAAGTTAGATTTATGTTACTAACAACATGGACACTATCTGTGCCTGATTACAAGAAGCCTAAGTCTGTTAAAGACTCATATTCTGCACACATTAAAAGTTAAGAAAGTTTCTGCTTTGCTGTCAGCATCATTTAAACAAATTATGAATATTTTAGTAGATTATAAACTGATAAATTGTATAATGTTTTAAATATATTGGCTAAAGTACTATACATTAATTCATCTTTGTTCAGTTATGGATGTGTATGATTTATTGTAAATGTTGTTTTCAAAAGCATCTGAAACATCACTTATCCTAAAAAGCAGCATATATACATATACATACCGTCAA